TTCCTGCATTAAAATGTGCACTAATTTTTTGAGAGCATATGTGAATGCTAAATGACTAAAAGGAAGCCATTTTCTAAAAAGAAATACAAAAAAAAGCCTAGAGAATCATTGACACAAGCTGCATGGATTAAGAACCTAATATTCAAAACAAATAATGAGGATAGTAATGAAGTTGAAGAGAAGGTGGAGCAGTAGAAGACACTCTGGTTGCACTGTGTGGGAGTGTTAGGTATAGAGAGGAGGTTACAGGTCGATCAATAGGTGCCTTTATCTTGAATGTCAGGCAGTACAAATAGATTGGTAAGCCCATACTATATCCTCTGATCTTTATTCTCCAGTTTGTCTCTGATTGTCTCTGTTTGGGTTTATCAGGACTTCTCAGGCTTTCCATATTGATTAGTGTATGTGAATGTTTTCAAAAATAGCACTTCAACTCTATTTGTGATTGTCTGTAGACTTAACTACTGAGTGAATGTAGATTTATATGGAGACAAAAGGTTGAAATATATGCAAAGAAGCATATCTACACACACATGCATGCACATTTCTCTATTATGATGGAGGTGCTTTGTTACACTACACTACAATTATTTGCACTAGTATTTCATCCTTCATATTTTTACCATAGCATTTTGGCCAATTTCTTTATCTTTTGTAAGATGTACATGTAGCAGATGTGATAGTCTTTAGGAATTATTTAGTGCCACTTGATGCAAACATATTTTTGAGGAAGACTAAAGTACTCATAGGCTGAAACAGGGAAAATGAATAACAGTCATTTTACATTTTGAGGCAGCTGAAAGATTGCATATTTTGAAACAAGATGAACATATTGTTCAATAAATGATTTGAAGAAGACTGAAGGATGTATAGGCTGAAACAAGAATGATGAATCTTTTGAATAAGGTTAAAGGTTGTATGAACTGAAACAAGGTAGATGAACAGACTGTTCAATAAACCTATTGAAAAACATTAAAGAATGGGTTGAAAAAAGGAAAAATGAATGTACTGGTTAAAATATTTTCAGTGGACGTTGAAATGTCATATTTAAAATATATCAAGAATAATTTCACTCACACAATTACATATATTGTGACATAGTAAATGTTACATATACAAATTAATTTTAATATGAAAATGCATGGCATTATGTTTATATAACCCACAATATTAGAAATACAGCAAACATTAAAACACTTTGCCATATTTTATTGACATGTGTAAATATAAAGAAACAATAAATATTAAAAGCAAATATAGGAAATAAGCTAAGACGAAAATTTCCATTGCACATTTTAGTTTGTGAACAAAATATGAATATAATATCAACAATTCAAAAATTGATTATTTAATATTATGTTCTGCTTGAAAACTTAGATAAATATTAATTTAAAAGGCATGACAAAAGGGTAGAAAGATAAGAAAGTAAATGATAATAAACCATTTGTAATAATTTTAAAATGCTATTATTATGTAATTATTATGTGATCGAATCAATTCAATCTGTCATTTTTAGTGCTATGAATGAAAATCTTTGTATTAACATTAGTGTATTTTTTGCCGAGAAAGATGGATGAAAGCAATTTTGTCAATGCTCACAAATTAATGTAAGTTGCCACTGGCTGACCAGAACTATTACATATATAAAGTAACTACACTGAAAATCAAGAAGAAAGGGATTCAGTTGTCAACAATTAATGCAAGCATTGTTGAGGGCTATTATATATATAAATAAGTACATTTCAAGTAACTCAATATAAAAATAGGAGTAAGGATGAGATGAGTTTCCGAGTTGACAGGGAAATTGTCTCATCCTTACTCCTATGGAATCTTTCTAGAAGTGTCTTCTCATGAAAATTGACTTTCCCAGACACCATAGCTCAGGATTTGGGACCAAACAGTGTAAAAAGGAATTGACAATGGAGTTCCGACCAACAATAGGGAAGTCGAAGAATGATGATGATGAATATAAAAAACATTGCAAATAATCTTATTCTTCTTCTTTATGTGCTATGTCCACTTGAGACTTAGGTGATCACGGTTCTCCACAGTTTCCTGTCCTTTGTAGCTCATAATAAATTTTGTTTTTTCATTATTTCTCCTTAACCTTGTTCCACCATCCATTTACTTAAGTTCATCAAGTATGTTATGCACTGTTTTCCTTTGTCCCTCTTACCCTCAATCTGTCCTGTGAGTATCAGATTTTCCAATCCCTCTTTCCTCATTATGTGCCCTAGAAATTTCAATTGTCTCTTCCTGATATTAAGTATATGTTTCCTTTTTGTTTCCATTTTTTCTAAAACCTTGTCATTGTTCACATGTTTAGTCCAGGGTATCCTCACTATCCTTCTGTAGAACCACATTTCTGTTGCCTCAAATATCTTCCTCATCTTTGAGGAGATAGTCCATTATTCACTGTCATATAGGAAGACTGATATAACATAACAGTTCAGTACTCTCTTTTTTTTTTTGTTTCTAACAAAGTTTTCCATCTTTTAATACATTGCTTAGCTTTTAGAAGGCACCTTTGGCTATCCCAATGTGTCTTCAGATTTTAGTGTTGTACATTCTGTTCTTTGTTAGAACACTTCCCAGATATTTAAATTTTTGTACTTGTTTCATTTTGGTATCACTGATTTGTATTTTGGGTTTTTATCCTTTTATTAATCTACCAAAGTATTTTTGTCTTTTTGTAGTTTATGTTTATTCCTTCCTCTGCTCACTTTTCCTTCATTAGGAACTTTTGTAGTTTCCTTTCTGTGTCATGTTATCAACACTGTGTCATCTGCATATATTGTTAATATTGTGGCCTGCCAATAATAAATTCTGATAGGACATCTTAGAATTGTCTTGTTGTATAGGTTGAATAAGCCTGGTGAGAAGACATGTCCTTGTTTTACAACACTTTTTGTTTTTGTATATCTGCTGAAGTCATCTCAGTATAGGTTTTTGATTATTTTAATATCCTTCCTAAATATTTCATGATTTCTGAATAATTCCAACAAATATTTGTAGTATACTTTATTGAACGTATTTGCATAATCTATAAAACACAGGATACATGTCCTTTTACATTTGTATTGCTATTTCTGATAACATTCTGAGCATAAATATTGCATTCTTTGTTCCAGTGTCTTTGACGAACCTGCACTCTTCTTGTCCTATCTCTGGTTTGATTCTGCTGCATGCTCTATTCATCATAATTTGGATGATGAGTTTTGTTAAGAGTTTGAGTGATCAGAAATTGAAGCAAGCATTACTGACAAACAGAATAAGATTATCATATTCCTAATTTTATAATAGATTTGTAGCTCTTCTCAAATTTGCTTGATTTGAGAAATTATACAAATGCAGAAGGATGTCTACCTGTCTTTTATAAATTATGCAAAAGCATTTGATAAAGTATGTCACAAAGAACTGTTGGAACTGCTTGTTTAACCTTTTGACATATTTGGTAAAAGGATATTAAAATAATCCAGAACTTAAACTGATAAAAAACCACCTGCATACGAATAGAAAATATATTCAGTAAATCTACAAAAATAGAAAGTGTCTCCTCATCGGACTTACTCAACCTATAAAATGAGGTGAGTCTTTGAGAATTAGAAGTCCTACCAGGATTTATTACTGGCAGCCACAATCCAAACATAAGATATGCAGATGACACAATGTTGAGAGCAGATGGAGAAAGGAAACTACAAAAGCTCCTACAGAAGGTAGTCGGAAGAAAGGAACAGTCCAAGATTCAAATTAGAAATTGGAGATACCAAAATCAAACAAGTATAAAAATTTAAATATCTCGGTAGTGTTTTAATAGAAGAATGTGTGGCACTGAAATTTGAAGGTGCATTTGGATAATGAAAGGTAAAAAGGTAAGCAAATTATTAAGAAACAAGGAAGATTTAATTAGAAAAATAGAAAATACTACTGTACTGTTACATTATATCAGTCCTCCTATATGGCATTGGATGCTAGAAAATCTCTTCACAGATGAGGAAGAGACTTGAGGCAATAGAAATATGGTTCAACAGAAGAATGCTGAGAATACTATGAACTGAACATGCAAGCAACGACAAAGTTTTAGAGAAAATGGAAACAAAAAGGATGCTTATACTTCACATCAGGAAGAGACAGTTGAAATTTCTGACACACATAATAAGGAAGGAGGGCTTGGAGAATTTGATACTCACAGGATAGATTGAATGCAAGAAGGATAGATAAAAACAACACATAACCTACCTAGCATTCTTGAGTAAATGGATGGTGGAACGAGTCTTAGGGGAGATAGCAAAAACTCCAAAATTGCGGAGAGCCATAATCACTGTCATCATGAAGGAACACAGACAAAGAATTAGTCATTTTTAGATCATACTCAAAGTTTGATAAGAATGAATCAAGACAATTTGGAGACACATGCACATACATTCTTATATTGTAGATACAGTTGCACATTTCCTTGAAGATTAATTTCTCAAAATTCTTTGATGAAGCATTGTCATTATTATTAATTTTTGACAAGTTTTTCTTTCATCTTATTTTCGTTTTTATTGCAATGCATAGATGAAAGAAAAAAATTAATCAAAAATTAATGATTAATGAGATTTATTTCCCTGGATGATTAACTTGTAGAGAATAAGCTTCAATAACTTCCAGATCTAACGATTTTGTCTTATGTTCTTGGCTACAGATACACCTGTGTCAGTTTATACGCATTTCTCTCCCACTTGGTATAACAAGAAAAGAAAAATGAAAAACAAACAAAAAAAAGAGCAATAAAGCAAAGACAGTGTATCTCATCAGCCCAACATGTTGAAGAGTTATCTTTAGCAATGTTGAGTATTGCTTCTTAGATAATATCATTTTCTCTAAATATTATCTGATAATTTTAAAAGAAACCTTTTAATGGATTTTTTATCTTTTTGTAAAGCATTGAATGTACAGGATTCACCAAAAAGAAGACATTGATTTTTCTTTCACTCTCTTTTTGCTTCATTTTTCAGATCTTGGATCGCAAAAATGCCGAAATAGAAGAACTGAAAACACATTTCAACGGCAAAAGGAAAAATCTCGAAGATATGGCTTCCAAATTAGATAGCGAAGGTAAGTGACTCATTGAAAGTACACTCACTCAAGCGCACACATACAGTCATTGTTCATAACACTTCAGCATGCACAAAGTGAATAGATATTTAGGAAGATTAGTTAAATGAAAATGTGAACAGTAGATCATGTTACACCAATATTACAAGTGGGAAGGATCTATCAACTTCAAATTCAGTATTTAAAATCTGGGCTTTTACCTTTGGCGTAAAGGAATCATTTGATTCATGTTGCTAACTGTACATTGGCCTCTTTTACTTCAGGTGTTAAATGGAAGGAGGAAGAGTGGTGAGCAAAGGACTCTTTCTAAATTCTGAGTCAGAGACAAAGCTTTCTTATTTCAAATTATTTTGATAACTCCCAACAGTTTAGGTTATGGTACCCCTGTACTAAAAGCACACAAGGTATTCAGGAAGCAAGAGAACAAAATCCCAATGCAAAGTCTTTAGTGTTTGTATGTATGCACTTATTGAATCCACATCAGCATCTGGCAATATGTCCTTAGTTATGTGATTCTGTCAGGTGTCAGGTCCTGATTTAATCTTTCTAATTTACCAAGTATCAGAGAGGCATTCTTATATTTCACAATTTAAAAATGTGCAACTATTTCAGCCACCAAGTCGACTCAATATGTGAATAGGATATTTTTTTTTATCTACTTTTTTTTTAAGTTCTCTAGACTTAATTGACACCTTGTAGAAAATAAAAGAGATGAAAAAAAGAGATAAAGAAAACTAAAAGAATTACTGAAAACATGTGGAAGTTTTTTCAGTGTCAATATTCTGAAGACAATGGTAATAAACACTGAAATATTAATGAATTCACCATCTTTTTTACTTTCTTAATAGCAGAATTTCATGACTCTTGTTAGGAACTGTCTGTCACTTTCAACTGATAAAGATTGTTTGGAACATCATTATTGGTAAATTCAACTACATTTCAAAAAAGCTCTCCTTCTATTGAAAATGGTAAACATTTTATTTAACGTGCCATCATTAAATTTCTGCTGACCAAATTTAGTTGTTATAGTTATTAAGATTTTCTTTCTTCTTATCTAAAAAAAAATAAATAAATCAATAAATAAGGAAAGAAATATATTTTCTTTCTTTTCATTGGAGCATTTTATTTATTTATTTTTTTACATCCATTACACAGCATTGTTGTTTTGTAATAGGTAGTAATTGCATTATCCTCATCTCTAGATATGTTGAAAACTGCATCATCCACAACACATTTCGCAGTAACAGAAATATCATTTGCAATAGTCAGTCCAAAGCACAAACATTATAAGACATTTGCTGAACGATGTTTACATCATCATCAGTTTCTTATTTGAGGAATGCAACAACCAATTAGTGAATGAAATAAGACACTATGGTGATCCATTTATCAGTAAAGGTTCTGTATCAATGTTGCCTTCAGACCTGCTTATTACTTGATGGTAATGGGAAAATTAACTATTTCCATGGAGGATCATTCAGTATTTATTGACAAAACAATTAGGCAATATTCACATTTTTTAAACATTTCACTCCCAGTAAGACAATAAAGCCACTAAGATGCAGGGGGTACTGAAAGTGAAAGAATATAAAAGAAAAACAGTTTTAAGGATCAAAAACAATAAAAGAACAGAAATAAAGTCAGCAGAAGATTTTTACATTTAATTTCTAAAGATCAAACTTAACTGGAAAGCAGGAAGCTAGAAAAAAGTTCCACAAGTGAGAAGTATGAGAAAAAAACCTTTTAGCATAGCACTTAGTTACATTTAGCCATGTGAAAAATGAGACGTTGCTGCCAATCTAGTACTGTGCTTAAATTCATAAAGTAAAAACAAAAAAGAATTATTCATAGAATCTAAAAAATCTTACTGACATCCAAACTCTGAACTTTTCAATCATTCAATCTCTCATGCAAATGGTGGACTTCTCAGCATTTTTTCCTTGATGGGCACACTTCTCTTTTAGATCTCATTTTACTTCTATCTCTGACTTATGTCATACTATGCAGCTCTGCCCTCTTTGATCATGCAGTAGTGTCTGTAAACATTTCTTTCCACTCCCCCACCAGACAAGAAACTTCTACCAAGAGAATTTATTTCTATTACCAATGAATGGATTGGGACTTGTTCCATAATTTCCTTTGTGACGTCCCTTGGAATGAAGTTTTTAATCATCCTGTTCAAAAATGTGTGCCCAAGCTCTCCTCCTAGGTGAAAGCCGGCATCGATGCTTTCATTCCAGCAAAGAAATATCAAGTCCAATTACATTCATCTTCTTGGTTTTTACCTGCATGCTCAGCCACTATAGCCCACAGGAATCACTTCTTCTGGCTGTACCAGAGCGATACATCTGATTGCAGCAGACGTAAAAATGATAAAGACAATTGATAATAGAAATAAATTCTCTTGGTAGGAGTTTCTTGTCTCTGCTTGTAATGAGTGCAAGTGTGTCCTTAAAGAAGTGAAGTCACCGTTTGCTGATAGAATGAAAGAAAATGTATAGCATCTTGCAAGTTTAATTCTAGAGATTATTAGTGGCTCTGCAAAAGTGTGCTGAAGAACAGAAAATCCACCATCCCTCCTCTATTCAATGAAGTCGAATACTTGACATCTACAGCAGATTAGGTTGAATGCTTTGCTTGGAAATTTTCTTCCTACTCAACACTTGACTCATTTGGAAAACCCACACCTGATTTCCCCACCCCCAGAAAAGAGGTTCTACTGAGTGACATTCTCATAACCCCATCACTGGTCTCAGACATCATTTCTAAATTAGACTCCTATAAGGCAAGCAGAGGTGACAACTGTCATCCTAAAGAAATGTGTTCCTGAGCTGGCTCCAGTTCTCTTCCAACTCTACAGCTATTGCCTCACTGCTTCCTGCTTTAGAAGTCCTCCTCTGTAGTTTTTTGTTTTTAAGAATTCTAGAGAACCTTCTGAACCCTCTATCATCCTATAAGTCTCCTACTGCTTTTTGGCAAACTATTCAAGGCTTTAATCACTGTTAAAGTGGTCAAGCATCTTATCTCTCACAACCTACTCTCTGACTAACAATATGGCTTCCATTTTTGCCAGGTCTACCTCTGATGTGCTAACAGCAACCACTGAATATATACATCAAGCTCTTGATAATAACAGCAAAGCTCAAACTGTGGCCCTAGATATCTCAAAGGCATTTGACAGGGTTTGACACACTGGTCTTCTATGTAAGCTCAAGGGCTACAGCATTACAAGACAATTGTTTGATTTAATCCAATCATTCCTATCAAATGGTGAAAAGAAGGTCATTTTGAGCAGGCTCACTTCCAGATTCTTTCACATGAATGCGGGTGATCCCCCCCCCAGGCTCTATCCTGGTTCTTATGAAGTTTCTGATTTTAATCAATGATCTTCATGATGTTATCAGTCCCCAAGTAGGCATTTATGCTCATGTCACTACCATTTACTCCTGTCTCAATAGAAAATCTGTTAGAGCTGACAAAGTTAACTTGACCGCTTCTATTGAAAAGAACTTCAAATGAGCGGCTAACTGGGGCAGGAAATGGCTTGTAAATTTTAATGCCTCCAAAACTAAACTGCTCTCATTTAACTACCATAGAGAAATCTTCCTACCCACTATCAGCATTACTGATGCTAGGTTCCTGGAAAGCAACACACTATGCCTTCTTGGCTTTACTTTTTCAACTGATTTGAAGTGGAATGACTACATCAAATCAATAGCTGCATCTACTGCAAGGACAGTTGGGTCAGTGTTGTGCCAGAAAGTTTTTCTCATCAGAGTCCATCTTGCACATTTACAAATTTACCATTTGGTTGTGCATTGAATACTGCTGCTATATTTGGTCTGGTGTTACTGCTACTCATCATGAGGTTCTTGACAAAATCCAAAAAAGGATCTCTAATATCACTGATCTTGACCAGGCATCTCAACTTCAGTCACTTTCTCACTGATGCAATTTGGCTTTCCTCTGTCTTTTCTACAAATATTTTCATAGCAACTGCTCTGATGGGCTTCTTTCCCTGATGCCCCAACTACATGAATTTAAATGTGCTACTAGATTGGCACCTAGGTCCCACCCTTTTAGTGTTTAAAGAGTTAAATGTAACTTCCACTTCTACTCCAACAGTTTCTTGCACTTTCCACCTGTGGAATTCCTTTCCATTTTACTTGCTTCCCTGATAATTACAATCTTCAAAAATTTAAATGCAACATGATTCTTCTTCTTCAATCCCGTTCATCTTTTATCTCTCCTTCCCCCATACCCAGTCTTTTCTCTCACTTTCATTCTATGTGGAAAAATCTTTGGTTTTATACTCACAGTACTTTGAGAATCCATAAAAACTAATTAAATAAAATCAATCCATGAACAAATAATTAACATTTATTCTTGGTTGAAATTTATAAAATCTTCCTTTTAAAACAGTTTTTCAAGAAAATTGTATCCTCAAAAGTTGAATGTCATCACCTTTTAGTATTGATGGGTGTTTCTGAGTCATTTGTTTATGGTAGTGTGTAAAGTCAAGAGCTTGATTATATCATTATTTTCTCTTATATTAATTAAAAAAAAAGAAGAGAGAACCTGTTCCTAATTCCATAGATAAAAATTGAAAATGTAAAAGAAATGACCATTCATAAAACATTTGAATCCCACTACTAAATAAGATGTGCTATGTATCAGTTGAGTGAAGTGCTTCTACTGTGCACATTCAAGATTGATGCTGCTGCTATCTATTTGAAAATTGCAGTCTTGCATACTGTAATGAGTGGCTGAAGTGGTAGCATCTGTGAAGAGAAGTAGGTACGGCTTCATTATGTTTTCATGTCCTGATTATGATATCATTTTCTGCCACATTGTAGCACTGTACTGTAGTGAATAAAATAAGAGACAATGATGATTTCATTTGTCAGTAGGAACAGGAACTGCCGAATTCTTTTTTTTTTTTTTTTTACAAAAGTTCACCCAGTATAAAGCTCAACAGCTACTAAAGGTAGAGTGTTATTGAATGGAAAAAAAAGGGAAGAAAGCAGGAAGTGAATATTATGAGGATAACGAGAATAGATAACATTTGGCATGACTGGACTTGAAGAGGCCAGGATTGAAATGTACAGCAAAGCATATGGGAGTCTGTTCTACAGTTCTTGAGAAAATTTGAGCTTCTTCCTTAAAATGGAATATGGAGAGAGTGAATATGATTCAATTTCATGGATGTGGCATAGTTGTATAGGTTGTAACTGGTGGAATTAACTCATCTGCTTATTGATGACTTGAATTTTAACAGAAATGTCAACTTTATCAAACAATATGAGAATGGACAGAAGGAGAGTTATCCTGAAAAATATGCTCATGAGTTATTGATCATTGATAAATAAACAAGAGAATGTTCTTGATTTTCTTACTGCATTGATTTTTATTTACATCATCCTCATGGACTGTATGACAGGAAAAGGAAATGCAAAATAATCCATGGAAAACAAAAGACAGACTAAAAAAGAAGCAAGTCAATATGGATGATGTTTGTTTCTTGCCAAAATATGCTTGTAATTATCTTTTGTTTATCTGTTGTATTCTATCTGCTTATACAAGGTTTATTTTTATACTTCTTTATATCAGGAATTGTTAAATTCCATGTGCAAAGACAGCACAAGTCTTTTCAGTTCACTGTGTTTTTAAGATGATCTGGAAAAAGAAAATCTATCTATATGTATTTTTAAAAAAATTACTATCACTTTTTATTCCATTAATATATCTTGTATTTTTTCATTTTAAATATATTTTTAGGTTATATCTTTCTCAGTCAATACTAATTGAAAGTATTCAGTTTTTATTAAATCTAAATAAGCACATAAATCATCTAATAATTACAATATAATAATATATATATATATATATAACAATTACATATTTTTCTTTTTGTGCCTATAGTTGATAATGGAGTCCAAATATAAAGCCAAAATTTCAAGTGCTGATTTTCATGATAGGAAAACTGATATACTACAATACTTGAAAAATTCACTCCTTCTAACTTGATCTTGTACCATAGTTTTTCTTCTTTCTATCCTCATTACTGAGCATCCAGGACCATGGACAGTTGTTATGGCTTTAAATTCAGAGTTGTCCTTCCCCTAGACTGGTTGCCAGCCATGACTAGAGAACCCAGTCTGCTCTGCTATTTATAACTCAGAGCTGGAATGAGAAGAGATGGATTCCTAATTTTCTCAAGGGTATTTGCACATAAGTGAACCTAATGAACTCAACTTGAATTTAAATTTTCCTCTCCAATTCGCTATTCCAGGCTGATATTCATTCTACCACTTGCACATCCCCTGTATATACTAAGTTTATTAAATATCAAAAATAAAAGTGGCCCATATATTTTCTGTTGATATCAGGCATTTGTTTTCAAACCCAAGTAAAATCCATTATTTTCAATGCTGATTTTCGAGATAAACAAGCCATCTTTAATGAATATTCATGTAAAACAGTTGTTCTTATTTCATATCCCTCTTCATTTGTGTTTTTGTCTCATTCTAAGTTAAGCTAACAAATATTAAAGACAATAGAGAGAGGTCAGTCAAGTAGCAGTTGAAGAATCCCCAACATCTTCTCTTGGGAATACACCAAACAAAATATTGTGTTGTAAACAATCAAGATGAAGATATATCATTGAATAATGACAACGTTTCATGTGAGATATTCAGACAGCATTAAATATTTATAACTTTGTAGTTGTAGCCAAGAATATGCCTGGTATTCACCTAAACATTCACCATGAGTAAATTTTCTTCACAGTTGCTTATTAGCAAGAATATTTTATCAAGTCATGTGACAAAGCATGAAGAATGAATTCTTTCATTATTTGTTGACTTTTTTTTCTTTTACGACCGTGAGATGTCAGCAAACACCAACAAAATCAAAAGAATTACAGTCCAGTCAGTCACATATCTTTTGGAACATATTCTGTCCCCCCCACAAACACACATAGACTGATGCAAATTTAATATGTTTTTTACTTCATAAAAATATAATATCCTCTATCACACATACATGCAAACATCTACATTACTTTTATATGTGCTTTTTTTTTGTTTTATGTGTGTATATACAAACACACATGGTCCTGGGTATGACAATAAACTACATCTGCGTCCTGGGTATGACGATAAACTACATCCACATCCTGGGTATGGCGATAAACTACATCCGCGTCCTGGGTATGGCGATAAACTACATCCAACAGCAAGGCCTCAGATAATGTTTTCGGAAAAATAATGTTGCCAGCTATACGTTTTTGAAAAAATAATGTTGCCATACATTTTTGAAAAAAAAATGTTGCCAGCCATACGTTTTTGAAAAAATAATATTGCCAGCTATACGTTTTTGGAAAAATAATGTTGCCAGCCATACGTTTTTTAAATATCCTCAAATTATGTTTACAAAGTATATATATTTAATATATATGTGCAAACTGGATTTGGCATTAAATAACCCATAGTGGTTGATCTGCCATAAAACCCCAAACAACCAACCAACACACACATATATATATATATATATATATATATATATATATATATATATATATTTTATTATTATTATTATTATAAAGTTATAATAAAAACATTTTGAAATCACTACACAAAAGCTTTCATGTTTCAATATTATGATTGTACTTCTCCAGGCGATGGTAAGTAAGTTACCATTACCTGAAGAAGTACAATCATGATATTGAAACATTAAAGCTTTTGTGTAGGGATTTCAAAATGTTTTTATTATAATCCCTTATAATAGAAATATAATAATAATATATTGCTCTACTTTGTATTGAGTACTTTTAAAAGGTAAATGCTACATAACACATGGGATTTTTACTCCATCTGTTCTTTCTCTCATGTGTGTGTGTGTATATATATATATATATATATATATATATATTATTAATATTTTCATTGTCAAATGTTTTAAATTGTATCCTCAGATCTGTTTTTAAACTCTCACTTTTCTAATCTAAAACCATTCTGAAACTGAAATTGCTAAATGAGTTACTAAGAATGAGTTTCATATAAAAATAAGTTTAATTGACAAAGTAAGAATTCTGAAAAGTAAAGAATCCAAATAAATGTCTGTGCCATTCTTTATCTTCTGACAGTGAAATCTCTTAACATGGAACTGTACAAAACAAAGGAAAGCAAAGACAAGCAGATCTCAGAACTGAAAAAGCAACTGGAAGATACATACCAAGTGAAAAAGTCTGAATTTGAAAAGAAAGTAAGCAACTTGTTAATCAAATTCTCCTATTTGGTGAAGTGGGGGAAAGAAATGAAACAGGAAATGAGTTTTGTCCATTGTCTTGTCTTATGTCTTTCTTACTGTCTGTTTTGTAAATTTATTTGTTTTTGCTCTCATCTATTTTTAAGGCTTGTCTATGAGATGGGGAAACAGAGGTGTTTCTCGTAAGAATTTGACCCGCAGGAACAAGCAGAAGACAAAAAAACAGAAGATGCAGGAACATCTTGCAAAATATTTAATTTTCTTTCTCATTTCTTTCATTTGATAGTCTGCTATTTCCACTCATCAATACATATGCAAATAATTGAAAGATATTCATGTCTTTATGCCTTTTCTTTATCTGCCATTCACTCTTAAAACACTCTTTCTCTATCTCTACACACACACACATTTATACATATATACATAATATAAAGGAGGTGCTGAAAAACTCTTAACCTAGTTCAGCTGCCAAAATCTGACCAATTGAGCAAACATGAGATTTTTTTAATCCCTTCTTGGTCAGGTTGAGAACTTTTCAACATTGTGTATATGTATGTGTGTTTTTTTCTATTTATTTACTTAAATGTATGGATATATACTGATACTCCCTGAAGAGTGGATGGACAGGTCCACCTATAAAACTCTGGAGTTGAGATGTAAAAGGTAACATCAATCAGCTAAGTGACAATCTTTTACTTATATTAATCATATATATATAAAATCATCCACAGACAGACTGTTCTGCTGTATCACAGCTCATCTGTGTGGCTAGACATGCGATTGCTTCAAGCCAGGATCAAAACCCAACCAATTTGACATCAGTCAGAGACTCTCATACCTAGGCCATCAATGCACATTAGGGAGAAAGGGAATTTTTAATGTATTATATACAAGATATAAGCATTACCAAAATATAGTAGTTTCTGTGGAAATAAATAAGAGACATTACTTTTGAAGCATTACTCTCTCTCTCTCTCTCTCACACACACACATGTACATACATATTGTATATATATATATAGGGTGTCAGGATGTGATAGGTAAATTTTTACTATTTTATATTTTTAAATTTCACACATTCATGTTCTTTGTTTATGATTTTGTTAACTGCACAATATAGTAGGGTCAGTTGGGCACTGTCTGTGAGAAAAGGAGCACCATGACACAATTCACTCCACCAGAAATTTAGAAACGGCATGCTGTACTGTTTGGCATTTGCACCAGAAGCTCCAATACAAACATTTCAGAGCATTTGTGTCAATCTGAGGACAATGCAGAGGATTCAGAAAGAGTTGAATGATCTATCCAGTCAACATCATAGTGATGGAGTGATTACTAGTAATGATGTTATGCCTCCATTCATTTTCCCACAGGGCCTCAGACTCAACACAAAGATCTACATCACATGCTTTGAGGATGTAGGTCTGCCCTGGGTTAAGAGGGTGACTGTTGGAAGATCATATGTCTGGAAACAGGACTCTACACCATGCCACACAAGCAGGAGAACCCAGTCATGGCTGTCAGACAATTTCTGCTACTGCATCACCCCTTACATCTGGCCACTTAACTCCCCAAACTGCAACCCTGTTGATTATTATATGTGGGGTGCAGTTGAGCAAGAGACCAACAAAACTCCTTGCAACATCAAAGATGAACTGAAGGCAAGGATTATGGCAGCATTCACCAACTTGAACAGAGTCCGTCCAGAAGAGTTGCAGGAGATTCTGAAGTCATCTGTAGGCCGTGATTGAAGCCAATTTCATTTTATTGAATAAATTTACTCTTTAGTATTTCAAGATATTTTTGTATAATTTTGGTAAATATATCTGTTAAAATGAGATGTCAGTGTTATCTTCATTTTGCATAATTTAGACGACAATTTATACATCGCACCCTCTACATTATTTACATTATTTGGACCATTGTCCTCATCTTTGTCGCCATATTTATCACAATGTTTCGGCTGTTGTATGCTCCGGCCTTCTTCAGGTGGTTGGAATTTTGAACTGAACCCTTTATTTGAAACTGGCACAAATATCGAACCATCTGACATTCCTACACCGATGCAGAGACCTACAACTCATCCCTTCAGGCTTGGCACCAAGATTTCCCGTCAATTCAAGGAGAGCTTGTCAGGTCGCAGTGAAAGTGGGACACGCCCTTGTCCGAGAAAGAATCCAGTACAGTCGTTGGATAAAACATCGACTACAAGCTCATATCTTCCAGACGCTTGAGGATTTTTTCAACAGAATTACTAATGAAGAAGACCAGAGAAGGATCCAAAATGATTCAGACATGAATTCAATGTAATCAAGGCTCACCAAGTACAAAAATTAAATAGACTGAAAGATCAGAAGGGGATGCACAAGGTCCATCACCCACCAGTGAAAGCAATAGTCAACATCAGCCAATATCAGCTGAGTGCCTCTGAGGAGTCAGTATTGAATAAGGGTCTCAACTTCGCCACAACCATCAGGCGGGTGCCATACTTGGACATCATTGCCAGAGTCAAGGAGGTGGCCTTGAACATCCCTCAAGCTCAGGTGGATGGACTGAGATGGAAGGTGAGACAGACCTTGGAGAAGGCCAAGTTGCCCAGGTCTAACATAACAAAACTGAAGAGGCTGGCGATCAGATCCCTACAGAGGAATGAAAACAACTTCATACTACCGGCTGACAAAGGCAATGTGACTGTAGTGATGGACAAATCAGATTATACAAGAAAACTGGAAGACCTCATTAGCAATGGTAACTACAGCAATGTGAAAAAGGATCCTACTATGAAAACGGAATCAAGAACAATGATCACTTCAAGACCTAAGACGATAAGCAGTTATCGCAGCATTACACCAAGCTACCTCACATATAACGGTCTCCCCTAAGATTCACAAAAGACAAATTCCGCTCTGGCCGATTGTTAGTTGCCAAAGGCTCTGTATGCCACCCTCTGAGTCACTTCCTTGTAGATATAATTGACCCATTGATCAGAAAATCTTCATATGTCCAAAACTTCGTCCACTTGGCCTCTGACTCATTCCTAGAAGAACGGACCAGATGTTGACTTTCTGTACACAAACAACACACTTCATAAAGGGATCACACATATATCAACAGGATGAGGGCTTAGCAATGGGCTCGCCATTATCGCCATTATCACCAGCAATGGCAAATATATAGATGGAATACTTTGAGTAAATGGCATTAGAATCTATATCTCTAAAGCCAACTATATGGTTAAGGTACGTAGATGACACCTTCATACTCTGGCCACACAAGGAAGATGTTCAGGTTCTACTGGACCATGTGAACTCAATAAGACCTTTGATACAGTTCACAATGGAGAAAGAGAGTAACAACACACTCCCATTCCTGGATGTTCTAATATCTCGAACAGAGCATGGGTTTAAGACATCCGTATACCGTAAACCGACATTCACCGGACAGTACCTCAATTTCAACTCCCACCACCCATACAGCGTAAAGAAAGGGATCGTCCGTTGCTTACAACACCAAGCAAAAGTCATAATTGGTGACCCAGAGACATTAGATAAAGAATTGGTCAGTATAAGTAGTACCCTACAATGTAACAACTACCCTGGGTACATGGCAGCAGCCCCCAAAAACTGGGATAAGCAGGTACAAGAGGAGGAGGACAACAACACACAGAAAACAGTCTGCCTGCCTTATATGAAGGGGTTATCAGAGAAAATATAAAGGATCTGCAGTCCATATAACATCAGGACAACCTTCAAAAGCTTGACGACACTTCAGATATTTCTCCCAAATAAGACCCCCCTCATAGAGGAGAGCATGACTAACGACTGTGTGTACGCTATCCCGTGCAGCTGTGGAAAGAAATATAAAAGAGAGACAGGCTGCCTTCTTAAGGTAAGGCTTCAAGAACACCAGAAAGCTGTAACATGAGGGGAAGTGGAAAAATCAGGCGTGGCTGACCACATATGGAGAGAGAAGGGAGATCACCACCCTCTGTGGGATCAGGTTGAGATCATAGACAAGGAATACCATTGGAAAATTCGTAAACTTAAGGAATCAGCACATATGCTAGGCCACAAAAACCTCCTAAGCCGACCAAGCATAGAAATAAATACAATATGGGAACCAGTAATAAGGATGCCAGACAAAAGCAATGATAAAAACAAAGTTGCAATACGAGCTCTGGTAAAAAACATGCAATGATAACAGCAAAATTGCAATATGATCACTGGTAAAAATGGTTGCTGAAGACATTAGGTTTATAATACCCAGAAATTCATACCCAGATGACACATGGTGTTGGTTAGATCCAGTGACCCAAAGAGTGTGAGTTCAATACCCGGTTAAGGCAGTGGAGAACTTTCAGTGGGAAATTAGCAGGAGATAACATGGAACTAAAACAGTCTACCCCAAATAAAGGGTTCAGTTCGAAATTCCAACTACCTGAAGAAGGCCAGAGCGTACAACGGCCGAAAAGTTGTGATAAATATGGCAACAAAGATGAGGACAATGGTCCAAATAATGTAAATAATGTAGAGGGTGCGATGTATAAATTGTCGTCTAAATTATGCAAAATGAAGATAACACTGACATCTCATTTTAACAGATATATTTACCAAAATTATACAAAAATATCTTGAAATACTAAAGAGTAAACGTATGTTTATCCAAAACAAATGTTATGTACGTAAAATATTCCCAAATTAACATGCAAAAAACCAACAAGCAATATCTGCTAGATGTACATGCATACATTTACAAATATCTGTTATCATGTGAATCCTACATAGACAAACTAGGATTATTAGACACTTCCATACATAAAGCAATATTTGTGGCTTTTCAGTTAGGCTTGCAGTCTGTTGAGTTTTTGAAACTTCAAAAAGATGTGTTGTCTCTCCTTGAATTTGGAATGCCAGAAATTATACTAATTATACTTTAATAAGTCAAATGTATATAAAACATGATTAACCAATGAAAAACAAACAATAATAAAGTAAAAA